GTTAGCTGCTTTGCTGCACAAGCTGGCATTTCTGGAAGCAATGTCTCCTGTTTACAAAGAGGAAATGATGCCTAGAGTGAAGTTAGATCAGCAGGATGAGAACTGGAAGATTAAGCTCAGCTTCTCAAACTTTAACACCACTGCTTGTTACACCAGCTTTACATCATGTGCAGCAATCCATAGTGAGGATTCTGCAACCACGCTTTTCAACTTAGAAAAGCATCGGTAAATTCTGTCATTTTTCAATACTTAAGAACAGGCAAGACAAAACTTTCAATTTCTTAAGATCAGCCTCAAAAAAGCACATCCCAATCACCAGTTGCAAAACACACCACCTTGTTCCAAGGAGTTTGTATAAGGAATCTTTCAAAAGCATGTAGAAAACTTATGACATTGTTTGCAGTTTTGTTTCTTCATCAACCCTTACAAGTGACACAGGCAGGATAAAATTTGATGCCTACTTTGCAAGTTAGGAGAGTCAACACTGCCATCACTGAGTACTACACAAGTGCTTTCAATTCCCTGAAGAAACCGACCGATTAGGAAGAGAGACCGAAGCATTTCTAGTATTCACGTAAAAGGAACACAAGAACGGTCAAAGTATAATGTCAGCGATCCATCTAGTTCCCCATCTGGCCTCCACCAGTGGTGAAGGAAAGAAGTAAGAAAACCTACTGAGCGTAGCTCTGTGACTATTTCTACCCAATACCCACACAGCGGCCAGCTTTTGTCTTTAAGTACAGTGCCTAACAGCAGAAGATGCTTAGAAGAAAAGAAACGGGTGCAACAAACTGATGCAGCAATACATTCAGTTATGACAAACTTCTAGCTATTTTAGTTAATTATTTAAACAGTCAATAATTTTAAACAAAGCTTCTTAAACATTTACAGCTAGCCAGTAAGGTAGGCAGTGTTTCCTCAGTACAGCTGCCATCCCCGCGAAATCTTTACCTTGAGAAGGCTGTGATCTTATCTCTTCTGGCGTTATAAAAGGCTGGTAGAGCTTCTGCATATTCAAAAAAAGAAAAATTCTGAAATATCCTCTTGGTTTAATAGATATCTAATATACACATAGCAGTCAGAACAACGGAGAAAGGAGATGGTGGTGGAATTATTTAGATAAAGAATGTATTAGAGGTACAGTTTATAGGCACTCAGTTACTGGAAATAGTGTTCTGGTTAACACAGCTAAGTTCACTGCAAACACGTCTCCAAAATCTGCTTTAGTTTGCAGCATTCTAATTATTAAAGCATGAGAACTAAACTGAAATCCAGGCATTTTGGAAGAAGCATTGCCACCTGCTGCACAACTGAGGAGAAAGAGCTGCTCTGGCTTCTAAGGAGCCATTCACAAAAACAGTACGCTTTCACAGAGGAGCAAACTCAAACAAAGGGTACATTAAGACAAAAAGCTAAGAAAAAGAAAACTATTTAAATAACTACATTCTAGCCCTGCAATTACTTATGCATGAGTAAGAACACTCTCCTTCACAGACCAGGCTCTCTGGCTCTTTGGTCCTACTGTGAGTCTTGTGACTTGACATCAGTTAATTGTGACATGAAGTTAACTAATAATAAATAGTGAATATAACTAATATTTAGTTATTTTGAAGGTAGAATTAGAAGTAACTACCGGGGAAGAAGGAAACAAAGCAAAGACAGGAGAACGCAAGTTATATCATCCGCAAGTTAGTATTTTTCTTCACTTCAGACCTGTCTCTCAACCTTCTTCAACCAAAAACAAGTAAGAGGAAAGTTAATTATTATTCCCTGTAGTTTTACCAGAGCAAATTTTTCACAGTTCACACATCTTCTTAGCAAGTTTACAGTAACAGCTTTAAGCAGAGGAACAAACATTGCTTGCATTATCCTCAAACATAACAGAATGTATTGACTGAAAACCTACAGGATGATCTCTTGCTTTGGCAATTATAGGGAGATCACCACACTGAATCAGTGGTTTTCTCCAGATAAACTGCAGTTAATTACTGCATCTTTGTAGCTGCTCTTTATGCCTCAGAAAAAATGCATCACAGGAGCAGCTAGGGTCAAAAAAGAACATAAAAATTCCTCAACCAAAAGCAGAGAAACCACTAATACCTTTGCTGAAGTAGCTGAGAGGGGAAAAAAAAGCCACTTCACTTACAGAGATAAACTAAAAACTTTCTATATTTTGCAGACACTTTTAATTAAAATAATCATCTAGTTGTGGTGGTGTAAAATTTGAAGAGGTCAGCAACAGAAAAAAGGTAGCGTGAGAGGCATTCTAAATAATCCACTTTGGGACTCAGGTAGAACAGTTTTCCCTTTGCAGAAAGATTAAAAGATCTTGTTAAATCTTGGTGTTATGCAATATCATATTTTATTTTAGCTAATTTTTTTTGTTTGTTTTACATACTTGATACAGTGACAAAACAGAGAGATCACAAAAGGCAATATATGTTAGAAAACATCTCAGATTTAAGACAAATATATACCCATGCACTTTTACTTACAGTAAATCATCTATGCCTGGCTAACCGAGAGAGTTACTTTTGTCAATTTTAGTCCTCAGAAATGCAATGCAGGCTCTTAAACAACTTTCTAAAAAAAAATCCCTTCTTTAGTACAGAATCATAGAATAGCTGAGGTTGGAAAGGGCCTCTAAAGACGGTCTAGTCCAACCCCTTACTGAAAGCAGGGCCAACTAGAGCCGGTTGCTCAGGGCCTCATCCAGTCAGGTTTTGAATATCTCCAAGGATGGAGACTCCACCGTCTCACTGGAAAACCTGTGCCAGTGTTTTGACTACCCTCACAGTCCTTTTTTATTTTTAAATGGTTAAATGGCATTTCCTGCATTTCCATTTGTGCCCATTGCCGCTTGTCCTTTTTTTTTCCCCCCATAGAAAATTGACTCCTAATTAATCACCAGGTAAGCAAAAGGCAGGCCTAACATAACGGCAGGAAAGAAATTTAGCAACCAAGGACATGACTGGGTTGCTTAATGCCAGTAATCACTTTACACTCAGTGTCAAAAAAACAGAGAAATTACCACACCTATTCATTCATCCACATTACTTTTTTTTTTTCCTTTCTTTCTTTACTGAAAGTACTTACTCAATGTAGTCATTAGCTCAACAAAAGTGCTTAGGAAAACACAGGCATCTTTTTAAAAGTCATATACCGCACATGATAATATCTGTACGTATCATAACATTTAGCACTTCAACCAGCCTTCAGCCAAGGATTTCAGAAACCCGGATTTGACAAGACAAATAGGTGTATACTGGCTTGTAAATCATGAGTCTTCATGTTGAAGCAATCTGTTTAAGTAACTCACTGAACTGTGCCACAGGCCCAATTCACTCACAGTCACACCGCTTTGTGGTAACCCTCATTTTACTGAAGAACAAATTAATACAAAGAAACAATTTCATTATATGACAAAGAATCAAAAGCAACTGTTAGAAGGAGCTTAAAGCTCAACATTTGATGATTTATTTCTTCAAGTTACACGTGGTCAGCAGCTACTATATGCAAAGGTTTTCTGAAAATCTTAGGTTACTCACCAACATCTCTTGCTCTGCTTTCATGGTTTGGATAGCATGCATCAGTATCTTTTTAGGCCACTGCTTACGCTTTGTTGTTGTCTCTACTATTAGTTCATCAAATTGATCTTCAAGAATTTTGATGTTGGAACCTAAAAATCACAAACACACAAAGTTATTGTAGGAATTCTCCTACAATTTTTTTTTTTTAATTTGAGACAAAGTTATAAGGAAAAAGACAGCTTTAGATCTGAAATAAGAAATCGCGCACAATTATCAATGAAGATAAAGATATCTGTCTTGGATCTCCTTGTAAGGTGATATAGGAATTGGACCACAACTTGATGTTGACCAGTTACTTTTGAAGCAAGGGAGCCGGTGGGAACAGGGGAGGCAGGGAACGATCTGGGGAAAAACACAAAAACGTATTTTTCTCTAGGCACTCTGAATCTATAAAGACAATCTCACAAAGAAACGGTTATCTTTTGAGATAATTTGTTTTTCAACTGAAGAAAAGCAATGCAAGATGCATTAAGAAAAACGGTTTATCTGTGTAATTTAGAGGCATTAAACAAATACCAACTGTCCAAACAGTAATTTGAAGCCTAACTGATTTTATAGCATATAGAGCACAGATACGCAGTTTGATTTTAAAATCCATCTATGAATTTTTGACAATATGCAATGCCACCTTAATGAAACACAGTTTCTGGAAATACTCTGCATCCTGAGGACATCTATAATTACTAGTCATATGGAGTTTCCAAAAAACCAAAACATGTCTGCTTTCAACATCTGAGGCCCAAGAGACTGTATCTGGTAGAAGCTAACTTTCATAGCTTGCTTTTCCAACCGTAAGATTAGACTAAATACCTAGAACGTATTTTCAGCTCTTGACTGAAGCGTTTTAACTACTGCTACCCGACTACAGGTGCTCAGCTTCTTCAAGACTGCAATTAAACTTAACAATTTTAAAAGCTTAAGATAGTATTTTAAAACTGGTTTCAAAATGTAGTAAATGCCTGCACTGTCCTGACATCACACGCCATCATTACAAACCATAAAAATTAAGAATTATAGAAGAAAACAGAATTAACCACTCAATCTTATATCCTAACTGCGTGTAACTGAAAGGTAGGGCATATTTCTATATTCTTCCATCTGCACACTCTTATAATTTTTCTCCCCTGGTGGAGATTTGAAACGTTGACAACAGCCTTGCTTTTTCATTTTTTTAATTTAATTTTGCAAATTCCTTAGCATTTAAATTCACTGTCCCCCTTAACATCTCAAGCACAAGTTGCAAGCCATGCAATGTTTTCAATCTAGTGGTAAAGAATGGATTTTGAGCACCCTCTCTTGGTCAATCTGTGCAGAACCAGGTGATTGTAAACCTCAGAAAGGCAAAATCAAGGTTTTAAGAGTTTGTGGGTTTGTTTGTTTTAGGATCACCATGAAATCATTTAAGTATAGAGAGGAAAGACTTGAGCCACTGGTCGATGTAAACACCGAAGGCACAAAATGCTGGATCACTTGGTGATTCAAACTGGATCAGGGATAGGCAAATGAGTAAATTTATGTCAAATTAAAAAGCACAATACAGTCCTTACACCTGCTTTATGCCAGCTGTAGGAAGATGACAGTATCTTATCTGGCATAAAGTTAGACTTGTACAGACAAAGGCTAACTTACTGAAAATAACATCCAATCGGACAAAGTTTTCCTGTTAAGAAAATGCTCTTAGGAATTTTTGAACAAACTGGAATTAGTTAAGCGAGCCTGAATCAGTTCAGCATTTTGCATCATGAGACCAGTGCATTTTTGACTTTGTAGTCAAAGGAGTTGGAGTTTTATTATTCTAGAACTACAACTGCAGAAGCTTCCTGACCAAAAAACAGTTCAAGGAGCTCTTTCTCCAGAGCCACTTCAATATATCTGTATTTTTGGCTTCGTGCAACTGTAAAAAGCATCATTACAGGCAAAGAACATCTAACACTAACACAGGCCAGCAAATGAATCGCACTGAAATTTTCTTTGGACACCAGACTACCAAGAATCTCCACTACTATTATTCAAAAGACAATAATTATAAAAATATTGTATATATTGCATATAAATATATGACTATATAGCAATAATTATAAACATTTACTTAATTTGTGTATTAAATAATAGCAACAGACATACTGTTAGGGTCTCTTGATAGGAAGAGATCTTGGCCAAAATCACTCAGGCTGGAAGGGCCCTCAGGAGGTGTCTCCTGACTCAAGCCTCCTGCTCACAGCAGGGTCAACACCCAGTTCAAAGCAGGTTGCTCAGGACTTTCATCCAGTTGGTTCTTGGAAGCCTCCAGTGCTGGAGACTACACAAGGTCTCTGGGCAACCTTTTCCAATGCTCAGTTATCCTAATAGTGAATTATTACTTCCTTACATCAAGTCAGAACCTCCCCTTTTAATTTATGACCCTTGCCTCTGTGCACCTCAATAAATAGCCTGGCTCCATATTCTCAGTAACCTCCTCTAGGTACTGAAAGGCTGGCTTGTCTTCTCTGGGCTAAACAAGCCCAGTTCCTTCAGGCTCAACTCATAGGGCAAGTGCTCCAGTCCCCTTGCTGTCTTGGCAACCTCTGATGAACTCACTCCAGTTTATCATCAATTTCCCTATACTGGGGAGTCCAAAAGTGGGTGCACTACTCCAGACGTGCTCTAGTAAGTGCAGAGTAAAGGCAAATAATCAATTCCTTGCATCTACTGACTACACTCCTGTTAACACAATGTACTACGCTGGCTCAGGGTTAGCCTGCCAGGACCCCCAGGTCCTTTTCATCCTGTACCCCTGCAGGGGGTTATCCCTTCCCAGATTTAGGGCTTTGCTTTTTGTCCTTGTCGAATTTCACGAGATTCCCACAGATGCATTTCTCCAGCCTGTTTATGTCCCCCTGAATGGGCCTGCCCTTGAGCATATTCACTTTATGCCAACCTGGTTGATGTCAGCTGCAAATTGGGTGAAGACACCTTCCATCTCCTCCTCCAGGTCACAGATAGAGACATTAAACAGAATGGGTTCCAGAATAGACACCTAAGGAACTCTGCCTGTAATCAGCCCTGAGATAAAAGCATGAACCACTAAACACTATCCTCTGAGCTCAACGATCCAGCTAGGATTCTCATCTACCTAGACCATAACATCCTAGCTTGGATGCTCTGGGAGACTGTGTCATTGAGTACTGGAGCAACTCCAATGGAAGAACACCAAGAGGGTTGGCATCCAGCGTACATAGTGTATGAGAAGCAGCTGAGGGAGCTAGGTTTGTTCAGCCTGGAGAAGAGAAGGCTAGGGGGTAATTTAACTGCTACCCTCAGCTAGCTAAAGGTGGTTCTAGAGGGGACAAAGGCAGGCTCTTCTCAGAGGTTTGCAGCAAAAGGATGAGAGGCAACAGGTACGTTACAGTAAAGGAAATTCCAGTAGGCCACAGGAAAGAAAATTTTCACCATCAGGGCAGTCAATCACAGAAACTGACTGCCCAGAGAGGGCAGGAAGCCTCCGGACTTGGATCCTGTTGCTGTGTTCTAGCTTTAAAAATAGATCACCTTATCCTATTCCATTAAATGTTGTAGATAAGAGAAGCTGATGAAATAGAACATGCTCTATCCTAACCTCCCGAATGAAAAATCTTGCTTTGAAATACCAACTTTCTGAAAGCTTGCTGTAGACTTTCCAGCAAGACAGCTGCTATTAGACTTAGTTAAACCTTTATTTTTCCCATGTTAATATCAGATACTTTGGTAGTCTCCAAGCTACTTTTTCTCTAGTAGTCAAGAGCAGATCCTTTAAGTTAGGCAGGCACCATACTAGTGACAGCTGGAACTTGTGCCTCAAGATCTATAAGGATCTTGACAGAAGTGCCAAACAAGCAACGGTCCTTCAGATAAAGCACTTTCCCCTTCCTTTTCTCTTGGATACAGGTCCCTACAAGTCTTGGTTACCCTTCTTTTCGTTTATGAACACTGCTCTGTGAGAATCGTGCTCCCGCAGTGCAGCACTTCAGATCTTTACACGGGCACATCTGAGCAGGAGTTTGACCTTACCTGCTCCATAAGCATCCTTACCGCCACAGATAGCTGGGGAAAAACTACCCAATTAAAAATACCACACGCAGAATCCAAAACCACCCAGCAGGAAATTAATGGAAACCAACCCATACCACTCTGCAGCTCGGAGTCATCCGAAGTCTCCTCCCAGGGCTGCCCAGAAATGGTAACGTTTTCCCGCACCGCTGTTTGGAAGTTCTGCAAGAGACGGGAGAGCTTGAGAAGCCATCCTTCAGGCACAGGTACGCAACATCTGCAGCTGGAACGGCCTCTCCGGCCTCACCGCCCCGCCCGGGTTGGCCGCCTCGGGGGAAACAGCCACACAAACCCGCTAAGCTAAGGGCTGACACCATGGACCGCCTCAGCTTTGTGCCGGGCCCCGGGCACAAGCGCTCAGAGACGAGACCCAGTAGCGTCGGGGCTCCCCGCGCCCCGCTCAACCTCACCCAGAGCGCGTCTCCCGCGGCGGCGGGTCCGCCCGGCTGCCCCTGGGCAAGGGCCC